TAATTCAGATCAATATAAACTCTAATTTTAATGCCAGCATTTTACTGAATTTCAAATTAGAATCTTTCTTTTGTTATTTTATTTGAAAAATCATATTTGCTTTATTAATTAATTTTTATCAAATCAAATCTCGATTATGCTTGCTAATTATTGAAATTAAAATATATAAAAATATAAATTCATTAATAATCGAGTCAAATAAATTCAAATCACTGATTTGTGATGCTGGAAAATAATAAAATGTTCACCTCAACAACATTAATCTCCCTTCCACGTGATTTTGTTTAATTTAATTATGCGTTTTTGTTATCATTTATTATTAGGTATTTTATTTTTATTATTTTCTGATATTCGGTTTCAAATAAATTAGATTTATTGAGATTTTTTTACTGTTCTGTTGCTGCATTCATTAATGATATCCCAAAAATTATATTTTTTCGCTGCTCGTATTCATGTATTTTATTATTGACTATCTATTGATTGAATATATTTCCTTTTAATACTCTGAACTGTTGAGTTGATGTTGGAAGGAGATGTTTGTTCGATAGTCTGATCTTGAATGGAATTGGTCGATGACAAAACGAGTCTACTTTGAGTTCTGATCTTGATTGATCTGATAGTTGATTCTAAGATTTGATTTAGAATAAGCTGTTGGAACTTAAAATATAAGCAAGTTAGATTGAACATTTAGCACAATAAAATGTCACTAGCTAAACTCAAACTCGCATTCTTAAGATTCTCAGACTTCTATCATAAATCTTTTAAGATCGGGAATTGTTTGGAAGTTTGGCAGAACTTAATAGTCAAAGAATTAGCACTCTGTTTGATACTACAAGGAATATCTGGCTCAGATCTAGATGTTTGTGAATTACAAGGCTCCCTCAGATTATAATCTTTGATAATCTTTCATAAAAAAGATTATAATCTTCGTTTTTAAAAGAATTCACATTGAATTAATAGGAACTAATCACCATCTAACCTAAATTATTAATTTCTTTTGAACATGATCTTTGATCTAATTGTTTATTCTTTAAAACCTTGAACTTTAATAAAGGGTGTGAAACAAATTGAATTATATCGCTTGCACATCCTTACATAAATAGATTAAAGCTCTTGAACCTCATTAAGAAGAAGAGGAGGTATTAAGTGAAATCTATTTTAGACAAAGACCCTTAAGATTTTCAAACAAATAAACAAATGTGGAAGATTAGATCTCGATCCCAATATAGACAATCCATACTTTTTAAATAGACCTAACAACAGTTCCGATATCATAACTTTAGTTGAAGACAAGATATATAGATGGGCTCATACAGAGTATACTTGACCATACTCGACCATACTATTTTTTGTGTACTTATACAAACAAAATTTTTTAAAATTTTCTATTTTCAAGTTTTCATTTAAATATCGACAGATGCAACAACATTTGACTTTAGTCAGTTACTTTTAATTATAGCAAAGCATTTGCAATACTCCTGTATCAACAAAACTTAACAGAAAGTTGAAAATTTTGCAAAACAAAAATTGAAAATTTTCTTTTATAGTGTTAGTGTTTTTAGAAAATTCAAATTTTTGACGTTTAAAAACTGCGATATTTTTGTATGAGCACATCTATATATCTTGGTTGAAGATAATATTTATATCTTAACTATCAATCATCTTCGTCAATCAAGCTTCAACACCGTCCAAACGTCTCCTTCCAAACTTCAAATCCCATTCATTATTCACTCTGTTCGTATTCACAATAAAAAAATACTTCCCTTTTCACTCATTGATGCCAATTGAAAGTACATCCCCCCCCCCCTCCCCATCAATTAAAAAATAAATTTATTAGGAAATTAGTTTTTGCTGTTTGCTCTTTTCGGCACATAAAATAAAATTTCCTATCCGTGTATGCATTTGTGCTATTTGTATATTGCACAATAAATCCTTTATGCTCAATATACACAAATGTGGATATTGAGCATATATACTGCGATTAAAATCAAACAGAAAAGTGATGTTAATTAGAAAGTCAGTAATTTTAAATGTAGCCTTATTGTGTACATTCATTCTCGCTTTATTTATCTATTTGTGAATCACAATACATTAGACTGTGACTTGATTAAGTCACAAAATTAAAACAAAAACAAAATATGTTTTAAATTTACTTTAAATTTTTTTATGTTGTTTTGGTGATGGCAGTTAAAGTTAATGTTTACGTGGAAGGACGAGGAATTGCTTTTTTGAAATTATAAATTCATAAAATGTACCCAAATCATTGAAATTGTAATTTAATTTCGGTTTTAATAAGATGACACACCCACTCTCTGATGAGATTTTCAATAGAATTTGGACTTTGGTTTTGGGGCTTTCTTACCTGACATCTGGAGATTCTTTGATGATCTTTACGTGAAAATTGTAAGATGGCGACTAAATGAGCTGACAAAAAATATTCAAGTTTGAAGGATCTTACATAGCCAAAATCAGTTTAATGTTTTACATTAAAATCATCTATGTACCACACATTGGAAGGTTAATGGAATCATCCATCAATAGAATTTTTTGAGATTCAAATGCTTGACAGTTTTGGTATTCCATTCAGGAACAACATACAAACCTTCCATAAAAGTCAGCGTAAAATGTATCAACGATTTTAACTATATTTTAAAAGGTTCTAAAACTGTGGATCTCAATAGCTACCCGCTCTACAAATAATGGCTTAAACTTAAGGAAGTTGAATCAGATTTGAAAAGATTTTCTCAATTTCCAGTCATCAAACTCGGTCTGTGAATATTGTTCGGACTCAAATTGTGAATATCTTGAATTGTGATAACAAAAGTGAAGAAAGTCTTCATTTGACCAATATATGCTTTATTACTCATGATCTAATGTTTCATTGCAATTCAATCTCAAATTTGTGTTCAAGCCTTCTCAATCGATAATTGAGGAAGCTCGAAATCAGCCATCTTTAACGAAAAAAAGCTTTTAAAGCAAATTGATTGAATTAAGGATTTATTGTAAAATAAACAACGCTTCAAACTCAATTACTGACCATTTTACCTTTTATATTGATTTATTATTTTCCTGCATAAAAAAACAACATTTCACAACAAATTAAAATCCGAATTGAAATGTTGAACAACAATTTTTTGATTGCATGAAAAATATTTACAATTTAATTAGAGCATCTGATATACAAGTACGATGTGAGCCAAATAAATTAGAATACTTGATATATAAAAAATAAATAATTAATTACTATTGTAATATAATGAAAATATTTATTCGAATTTTGAAAATTATTGTTATTGCTATACAGTCAGTGTTTGTAGTTGTTATATGGCAGTAATAATGGAGTAGAAATAAGTTTTATTATTGTTATATTTCAGAGAGAGGCGTGATAGTAATTATTTACGACAGAGATGATCCTAACTTGGGGTTGGAGTGGGATTTAAGCAGATTCTGTCATTGGTAAGCAGGTTTAGGTATGGAACATAAGAAATTTAAAAAAAAAATGATCATAAATCTTGGTTATGATCTTGAATTAAGTATTAAACAACTTAGGGTTCGTTCACTTATGACGTCCGATATTAACGGTAATTTTTCAAAAAAGAACAATGGAATTCCAGGAATTTCTATTGTTCTTTTCTTGCTGACCCCCCCCCCCCCCCCTGGACGTCATAAGTGAACGGTCCCTTATAATGCTATGAGGAACTAAGATTTCAACGAGGACTTTGTTAAGCTATGGAATCGTATTCTCCTTGGTTTAATGATATGTTTGCACTAAAACTTAGTAGTGGTACAACAGTGTGCTCGGTTAGAATATTCTTAATTACATTAAACCTTGGTTAGATCGAATCATTTAAATTTTGAATCTAGAGTATATCCCGATGTGGATTAAGATTATACTCCTTTACAAGAATCCTAATCTATATCTTATTGTAGATTCATGAGTCTTAAGGCTCTTGAAGATTACAATCTTATAATTTTTGAAAGAATATTATAATCTTCTTCGTATGAAGATTATTGAAGATTATAATCTGCGGGATCCTTGGGTCAACACAGCACATAGGGTAAACTTTTGAGACAGATCAACTATTGAGACATAGATTAAACAAGTCGGTTGATCGAATAGAAATCGATTTATATTCGATAAACCGACTATTGATATTCGGGAGACCTATCCTAGAAACTAAGATACATTCCTGGATTAAGGAGTGAAATTTAAATGAAATTTGTGCTATGCAATCGAGGAAATCGAATGATTAAAACCTTAAAAATAACAGACATCTTTAACAACTCTGATTAATTATGCTGAACAAGGAAAACTAGCTGAGGTATAAAGTGTTCAATAAACAAACAAATAAATCAGTCCTTAAATTTATGTGTCGAGAGCTTTACAATATTCGAACGAGAGCTTTTCCCATCAATACCGTTTAATTGAAATCAAATAAAATGTATTTAAATAATCTCTTTTATGTGTATCGAAATGAGTAGCATACACAATTCCCATTTCATTGGTTATTCACTTCCATCACTGCTGATCAATTTTGGTCAATAAGTCAGTTTTTTTTTAAATTTTATATTTATTTCTTTTCTAAATACCTATTTACAATCAATTTAAAAATAAAATTGCCCTAAAAATTCTTTTTAGTTGTTTTGTTGCTTTTAACGACTTTCAATATCATTCAATTTATTATTTTATTACATGATTCAATAACCTTCCATCTTATCTACTTATAATTTATCTTTATTTTAATTTCCACTAATCGATAAAATTGGATTTCCTTTTATTTCATTAAAGTTAAATTTTATTTATTTTTCTCAGTCTGTTTTTTTCATTTTCGTGTTATGAAAAATTGTTTTACAATTAGAAATTTACAACATTGTTTATTATAATTTATTTATAATCAACTTCTTCAGTTCTTCTTTTGGCCAGGATGATTAGATTGTAGAGATTTGAAGTTTGAAAGTATTTAAAATTGATTTTTGTTAATTATGAATTCAAATTGAACTGAATATTGTTGAATCGTTTACAACTTAGCTGATCTTAATTTCTCAAACTTCATTCAATCCATTTCAAAGTTCAAATCTCTTAGAATCAATTCACAATTCCTCCAAAAAGAAGTCAGAAGCAAGAAACATTTGATTTTTCTCAATAAATTCATAAAAAAAAAAAAATTGGATTTAAACTAGATCTAATGATGATTCAACAAAAGATAAAGATGAATTTGGAACCGACAACTAAAGATCACTCATTGCAGCTGTAGGCAGATGTGAGTGACAGCTTTTTTGATGACTATGTCCCATTGGACTACTGTTATTTTGTGCACGATTTAACGTCTGTGTTCGCTGAACATGATTTCCTACTTGCTGCTTTCCAGCTTGCTCTAGAAATGGAACGGGTATGGAATATTTTTATCACAGTTGATTTTCGCTAAAAACTACTGTTTTTATGTGGATATTTATTTTATTATTGGATATATCATTTGGTAAAATTTATTGACATTAAGTTATGATTTTATTATTGACAAAAAAGAGAAAGAAAAAAAGAGAAACGAAAAATTTTGAACATTAACACATTTTATTGACGCATTTTTCGGGATATTTTCATTACGATAAGAGGCATTAAAACACGAATTAATTTCTCTTATTATTACTTTGATTATCAACCCGGTTAGTTCTCATATTAAACACTTTTCTTCCTTTTACATCCACTCATTCATTCTTAAGTGTAAATGTTCATGTAAGTGCTTTTGTCTGTGGATATATGTGTGTGAATAATTCCCCAAAATTCTAGCCATATGTTGGCCAAGGGTTGGAATTTCAGCTGGATTTTCTGAGTCCTAAAGATTGACTTATTGCAATAATTTTTATGCCAGCTGTGCTGAATTAGTTAAATTTAATACTTTGCGTTATTCATCAACGCTGAATTCAAGTTATTAATCTGTTCAGCGGTGCTTAATTCAAATTGTCAAGCGATTCTCCATTGCTGACATGAAATTTTCAAACTATTCAGCCATGCTGAATCCAAGATTTGAACCATTCAACTACGCTTAATTCAAAACTTCAGTCTATAAATTGAAATTAATCAACGCTGAATTCAATATAATAAACTATTCAGCAGCGCTTAATTAAGCTATTCAGCAGCGCTGAACTTAAGTTTTTGTGCATTTGAGTATTGTTTTATTAATAGCTTATTCTTCTCAGTAAAAACGAATCACGGAAATTCAACCTCACTCATCAATTTTCTCACTCAATCCATTTAACTTGCCAAAAAGGTACCAACCCCACGAAATTCATAATAATGTGCACAAGCAAAAGCACGTTTTGGATGGATTAATTTATATACACGCACTCATATCTTTATCTCTAACATCTCTAACACACCAACTCTCTCATTATAACGTTTTACGTTACAGTTGGAGGTGAGAAAGTGTGATTTATCATGTATCACAATAGCATATATTACATTATGGCACATATATTCATCCTGACAATAGCCAATTGAATGAGAACTTTTTTCTCTGCTGTTGCTGTGCGGTGGAAAGAGGAACTTTATACAATGCGATACATTTTTATGTTGTTATGATCCGAGAGTAGCATATAAGTATGGCACAGAATGATATTCTTTTTTTTGGGTGAGAACGAGAGGGTTGTGATGGGTTTAGTATTATTTATACAGCACAGTTGACAAATGAGCAAGGTTGGAGGTAGAATGGTGCTGTGGGAAAAAGATCTTTATGGATGCCTATAAAAATACAGTTGGCAATAAAAAGGGATGAGATTTTTTTTGAATAGAAATCTAAAATTTGAAATGTTATGAGAAATCAAAGGAAAATTTGAATTATATTTTATGCCGTGATAATCCAGAGATATTGAAGATGTGCTTCAAGTTAAAGGTTATAAATATAAATAGTCGAGGTGGGTAAGAAGGAGGGAGGCTTGTCTTTTGAGAGTCAACTAGCTTCGCCCTTGCGTAAAACGAGTGCGAAACTGATAAATTTATCGAAATGCAATTTACCAGTTCCACACTGTTGGCGTAAATTCATTAAAATTGTTTTAATTTTCAAGCTAGATTAAAGCAAAATGTAATAAAAAAACTGCCAAAATTTTGTTAAGCTTGTAAAACTGTACTTTTAGGATTGAAGTCAAGGGTTCGAATCCCATTGCATGATAATATTCAATTGAATCTTACTTTTAATTTGGTATCTTATTTTGCCACCATTTTGACTTTCTTTTTATCTTATATTCTTCAAATCCTCTCTTTTTAACAATAATCTCATTCCTATTTGTTTTATTTTCGAAAATTAATCTCACTACAATTAATATTGATAGGCAGAGTGAGAAGGATGTGGAGTTGAGGTTGTATTTTTGACAGAAGTAGAAAATAAATTCAATAGCTGCTCATCATCATTATTATTGCCATTGGAGCCATAATTATTATGATGAGATTTTGTGATCATTAAAACTGCTCATGCAGCGTGAACAATAATGAGAATAATGTTGTATCAATAAAAATGCGTATGACATCCACACATCAAAATGAATTGTGTGTAAAAAAATCATCGGGTTAAATGGAATATGACGGGGGATATGAGTGGGGTTAAATTATATGTTTATTGTCTTACAAAAATGTGTATAAAATATTGAGGGGGAAGGGGAAGTAAAACTACAATAAATTCTAATTACCTGCTGAATTATTCAAATTACTATTCCTAGGTAATGTCGCCATCGTCATACATTCATTTCTAGAATAACTCATGGGTATATGTACATTTTGCTTTGGCAACGTCATCATTCCTGAATTATTGAATGATGTTTCCGTTCGTCCAAACGTTTGTTGCTGTTGCTGCTGCTGCGGTGCAGTCTGTTGAGGTTGATTTTTGATCGGTATCGTTACATGTTCCGCTCTTGGCTTATATGCCGTATTATTTGCTATCGGTACTTTTGTTGTCGTCGTCGTTGCTGATTGTGCCGGTGAATTATTCTTCATAACATTTATTTGCATTGAATTGGAACAAATGTGTGGAGATTTCTCCATCAGTGCACCCGTATCATGATTCTCAACATCAACCACTGTCTGACCGAGATGATAATGTGCATGCTTTATTGAGTCAAACGACTGTTGATGCCCACCACGTTGCTGATATTGCTTTTGAAGTGATTTCACTTCAAGTCTCGTTTTATCTCGCTGATAATACACACCAGCGAATATTAAAACATTTAATATTAGTAAACTACAGCCTATCGCTATGGTGACACTAAGTGCCGTTGAATATGCCGTATAGCCCTCAAATCCCGATGGGTCACTTGAATTTGTAGCGCTTGTTGGAGCGAAGCCACTTAAATTACTTATCGGGATACATGTGGTGAGTGCGAGCGGCTCCATTGTCGTTATTCCTATACATTAAATAATTTTAGATTAGCTTTACAATTACAAATTGTATTCATCCTTTAAATAACGCTCAGGCGTAGACTTGCCATTGATTTTTTGGTTGAATTGCTGGCAATTTAAATTGGACATTAAGGAGATAAAGCAAATATAATAATGAAATGAAAATATATTATGCAGTAAAAATAAAGTAAGTTGAGAGAGCACAAAGAGCAGACATGGAAGTTGGCATAGAATGGCAATTTGGAGTCGATTTTAGGAAATGTTGTGCAATTAAGGGATATTTCTGGCACATTTCACAGTTAAATCTTTGATTAATTCTTAATACTAGGTTAGGGTAGTGGTATAAGTGTAGTTCAAGTAGTTTTGAAGCTTCGATTAGTTAGATTTGTGAAAAACACAAACAGTCAAATGTTAATACCCCATCCTCCATCCTTACAATTAGTAAACAACTAAACAAATCCGAATCCACGTGTCTACTAGCTATGTCTTAAATTTCCTTAAATTACTAAAAACTCATCAATAGCTTGCTATATATTCCTAAGGCAATGATGATTAACATAAAACAACATGGAGTCGCCTACAAATAATGTCCATAGATACCCAGCAACACATGTCATGCCAAAAGTGAAAAACTTTAAAATAAAACAGCATCGAGAGTCTATACCCTAAAACCATCTCATTCAGACAATAAAACAAAATACGAGGAATTGCGTTATTTAAAAGAATCAAAATAAATTGTTATGACAAAGGAGATAATAGAAATCATTATGATACAAACCATTAAATTCGATGCTATAATTATTCCGACGCTTATAATTTTCATCAAAAATGGGTAAACGAGAATATAAATCTGGCCTAACGTGGCCATCATAAAGAGACATATCATCATGATTCTTAAATAAATTATGTCGCGTAAGGACATCTTCCATGCCAGCACCGAGCTTATGCATTTCAGGTATTAGGCGTAGCCATATTGACAATTGGTGAGCACGAAAGTGATTTTTCATCTTGGGCTTCATACCTTTTTTTTGGTGAAAGAGAAGAGAAAGAGAAAAAATAAATTAAATTACATTACTTTATGGAAAATGAAGAAAGCTTTATGCCGTAAGGCGTCAGTGCTTTCAGATCTCCTTTTTTTTTGTCAATAAATTATTTATTACATGGGGCCGAGTGGAGGAAATTTTTCACTCTCCTACGAGAAAATTAATAATTTTTGAGGCTGCTTAATGGCATTCATAAAATTTTAAAGAATCATAAATTACGGCGGCTTCATTGAGTTGAGAGCTACTGATTAAATATTCAATTTAGAAACAAGGAATGAAATTAAATGAAATTTAAATCTCAAAAAGAATATGAAAGTTACATTTCAGGCACTTCTCACTTCCTTTCACACGCTTTTATTTGATTTAATTTGTTGCGTGCTTTGCATTTCAGATTTCTGAGAAAATTCATGCTGTCTAGAATGTTTTTGGATTTTATTAGGAATTTAACGGTCGAAATTATTTCGAATTCAGCGTGAAAATTACAAAAACATTGGAACTAGTTTAACTCAATGGCAACCAATTTCTAGAAAACTTGTTTGCTCCGGCAATATGTATCATATTCCAAAATATCAGAGCATATAATTGCTTTACTGCAGACTTTTAAGCAATCAAAAATCCAATATGGAAGATCCATGAAAAAATGAAATCAAATCCAATATTAATGATGCCATTAATTTAGAAACAGCCTGTTGTCAGCAACTTATTACTGCCATAACTTTCAAAACATAAACTATGCCATTAAAAACTTCTAATTTCAAGCACCAGTTGTTTAATTTCCATCCATTACTCTCATCAACAAGAACATTAAATTAATTTGTTTTTTAGCGCATTTTTGAAAACTTGTTTTCGAAAAGGGAGCTCAATAATACACTTTGTTCGTTCGTTCGTTCGTTCGTTCGTTCGGGCAAGCATAAAAACTTTGCAACCAGACATCGTAGAGAGCTCGGATTTGTTTTATTAGCTCCGTTACTATTGTTTATTGTCCGATCGAATAGTTAAAAGTCTTCAAGCAGTGTATTTATGCTATAATTAATGAGTTTTTGTTTTGTTTTCAGTGTAACCTGCTCAAATTTTGTTTTACCTCTATAAATTCAAATTTACCTCTATAATTTCAAATTTTTTCTAGCCGTTGTAAAATTTCAAATTTTAAAAAACCGTTAAATGATAAACTTTTTCTATATGGAAATTCATTGCAGCAAATTATTAATTATAATCAAATACTGATCGCTTCGTCAAAAATGCGCTGAAGTCCCTCGATCAATAACACGAGGACTTTTGTAATTTTTTTTTTTAAATTTCTTCTTGTTGCTTCATATCTGCAAAAAAAAATCTCTAAAATTAACTTCATCAACTCACCAACTTCTAGATATTTTTGATGAATGGGATCATATTGCTCCCATGTGATGCTTCGAAATCGATTGCGCTCTTTCGATGCTGCTAGAACTGTGTCTTGTCGATGATGCTCGTTGGGATTTCTGAATTAAATTACGTTGATTGATTCCGTTTTTGTTTTATGTCATGAAAAATGACATCAAAGTGATATTGGAAGGAATAAAAATGAGAACGTGAATGAGAGATTTTTGATGGCATTGTGGGAGGCAAATGTAATCATGGTCGAGAGAGAAAAACAAGTCAATTATTAAACAATAAATAATGTTGTTTTATGTCCTTTGTGTCAATCACATGCTTCAGATTGACTTTTTTTTTCATGGTCAAGTGTTTGGAGATTCCAACTTAGGTTTGAAATAAGTTTAACGTGAATTGATGTCATGATGTCACGAAATTGACGTAATCCAAGCTTCTTACATCTATTTACACAATTTGCGAATTAAGTCAATCACATGATACATCACTTAGTCTAACAAGACACCCAATAGTACTACAAAGATCCAATTGAACTGACATTTCTTCGAAATCATTGGAATCTCTACACTTTTTATGCATCTTATATGTCTTTCCACTTATTACACATCTTCAACTTACCCTGTCCGCACGAAATTACTCCAATAAATCATGATTGCTTCTGACAGAGCGATTTCTGATTTTGTGTAATTTCTCGGAAAATGACTGAAGCCATCAACGAGTGGAGCACCAAATACGTATGGTAAGTCCTCACCATGCACAGTTCCCATGCGCTGTGGGTAGTCGCCATCCTTCGTCTGATAATCGAATACCGAGAAGAAACATTTTGGACTTTCACCTTCTTGCATGCCATTTGTTGATGTCAGAAGGTCAGCCGTGTGAACTAATGGTGCTACATACTGTGCATCTGACAATGCTGACACGGCAGAATCACGTGTGATGATTGGATGTTGATTGGTTCTCTCCCAATCTGTATATTCTGTGACTGTAAATGAATTTGAGGAATTAATCACGTGGAAAATTTATTGACATGTTCAATGACTTACTAATCGTATAGAATATTTCACTAAGATGATAGTTATAGGCATTTCGTACATATGTTCGTATAATTTTATCCCTTCGATCACCCTCAAAACCACTTTGTATATCACTTGCACTAAACCGCCAAAGTGCCTCTCCAGTTACAGCACTTATCAGGAGATCATATTGACCAACATTTGCATTGTTACGTTTTGAAGCTCTTGAACTCTCATCGAGATCTTGATTTGATCGACCTGGTCGAATAACAACACCATCAACGGACGGCCCAAATGCACTTAAAAAATTCGGTGGCTGTATGTCGGCTGAGAATAAATCCTCGAGTGGCAAGTCACGTAGACAATCAACGATTAATTCGTGATCTTTTACTAAATCTTCAGGTATTGTGCAATTCACTTCTTTAGCTAATTTCATTGCATATATCACTGGATCTTCTACTAATGCCCATGATGAATATGCTGAGCCAGACATAAGAATGGCACGATGAAATAATCCTGGGACTAAATAAATATGAAAAATTTACACAGTTAATTCCATTAAAAGCTATAAAATATTTCAATATTTTACCCATGGAAGGAGATGACATTAAAAAATCTATACAGGCAGCACCGGTTCCATGACCCGCTAAAGTAATCATTGATGGATTACCACCAAATTTTTCAATATTCTGTTGAATCCAGTGTAAAGCTGCCATTTGATCCATTAATCCGTAGTTGGCAACTCTAGCACGTATATGCGGTGCTGGATTAGCATTTAAAAATCCTAAAAAAATGTGTATGTGGATGGGAAATATGAGATGAATTATTAAATCATATTGTAAGTATAGCATAAGGCGCAATTTGGTTATATTGAAACTTTGAATTTGATTATGAAAGTTTTAAGAAAAAGGTTCAAAGCTGTAAATTATTTCTACAAGATTTTCAAGTTCGAACTCTGTAATTTTTAAGTTTTTGTTATGGGTCGTTTACTTATCGGCCACTTATCTAGTTAAGACTTGATTATAACTTTGACTAGCTTGTCTTCAGTTCATTAAATATAAATTTTTAAATGATTAGAATTCCATAGAATAAAAGATTTTCCCAAATACAGATCAAAAGGAACCCAAAATATTCACTTACCTAAAATGCCTAAACGATAATTTAGTGTAACTACAATCATATCTGCATAGCTAGCAAGAACGGAACCATCGTATGGATTCCCAGAGTTCCATTCGAATGATTCACCGTGAATGAATACGAGTACGGGGAGCTTTTTCTCCTGAACAGCCGCTGTATGGGATGGTTTAAAATGGAATTTAGTGGTTAACATTTAAATGTGGATAAAATGGAACTTACCATGAAGTGGTGAGAATACATTTAAATATAAACAATCTTCAGATTGGTTTTGTAAAAAAGGCAGTAAACGTTTTAAATATTCTAAACGACCCTTTGGCATCTTTTTAAGTGCCTCCTGTTCATTCTGAATCTCTGGTAATCGTTGCGGACATACAGCACTAAATTTATCTGATTTACGAATTCCATCCCAGGGCGAAGGCGTTCGTGTTGGGCCAAAGCTATAATTAAAAGATAGAAATAGAGCAAATTATTGTTATGCACAAAATGATCATTTCAAGTTGGGTATTTAATGATACGGTCTTCATGTCAATGTATACACTCGATTTCTGTATCAAAATGTCAGACGTAGATATCGATAGATAATCATGTCTATGTTGTTAATGTCGATTGCAAATTGATGATATGTTCAAATCAAATTTGCTTTCAATTGCTAAATTACGGAATTGCCTTCATTGTCATGATTGTTTCCGTAATCAGGGGATCTCGATAGTACAGCACATGTGAAATGTATGAAAAACTTTGTACTAAATATGTTGTGGGATTGTTTATTGTGTGGAATTAGCGCAGACTTCTGAGCTGCAAATAATCTTTTCGGTAACGTTTTTTTTGATTTTTGAATTTTTTTGATTTACAAAATTGGTGAAATTTTTTAAAATGGCGTACTTTCCTCACTTCAAAAAGGTTTTTGAGAAAATTTCAATAATTAAGCTCAATTACCGTTCAACAAAACTGCAATTACCTTAAAAAAACAGCAAAAGTCTTTTCAAATATCAAAGACAATAAGCATTAAACAAAATGTTCTGTTATTCACTCAAAATAGACACAAGCCTAATTCTACTCTATAAAATACAGTGAAAAAAAATCAGAATGACATTTAAGGCTGACATTAATGAACAAGAACGAGAGCAAAATGTCACAAAATCAGAGCACCAGCATTTCTTTTGTTTTCTCCTCTTCCCATGAGCAATCTAGCCACAAGCGTCTTTTAAATTCTGTCTCGAGAATAGGAATGGTATAAAGTCCGAAAAAACAGAATCAGTCATCAACTGTCTAACCCCTCGAATTGTTAGATTGTTAAAACAAAAAACAAGGAGTGAAAGTATGACAGAAGAGCAGTTTTGAAATACCGAAATAAATAGAAGACATGAAAGGAGGAAACGGAGGCACATTAAATACCATATTTTTGTGCTGATGTGGGCAATCATTATTTTTGTGCTACATTCTCTTTATTCTGCTTTTTAGGATGTATTTTTGGAGGGAAATGTGAAGCTTGTTCGATTTTGTCTATCTGGGTGGTTGCTGTTTTGGAAGTTATTGTGCTACTTACAGATGAAGTCTAAAAAGAATTTCGATACATATAAGGGGATTTGAAGAGTACTATTTAGATTGCATTGCATTGTCAGACATCCCATACCCCCCAAAGGCTGTACATCATTTGATAATGACTCCATACGCATCATAGCTAGTCATAGTCCACAATATCCCTCAAAATTTCAGCATTTTTCATCAACATTCCTCAATTAATGCTTAATTCCCGTAAAAATTCGCACCCTTCTTCAGAACTTCCTCAAACCATTTCAAACTCGAATTTTTTGGAAGTTCTTTTCTGCTCATTTCCCATTAATTGACATCCAATGTATAATATACAAGAGAGAATAGATACAAGCATAAAATAACAATGTATACATTCAACATTAATGTGACTTTTGCTTGATTTGATGCTGACAAATTTTTTCTGTGTGCGTGTAGACGTATCCGAAACAAAATAAGCAGCGATCAAAGGCAAAGACGAGGAGAAATAATAAGAAAAATGGGAAATGATGTTACATGGCTTTATTCATCTCTCCTTTTGTTACAAATCGTATTCTTTAAACGTCACATAACAAGCGACATGTTACTGCCTTCTTATTTCATAACTTTTTTTTATGGCACCGGAATCATCAACAAAAGAATGAAAGCACACAATGTAATGAGTCAAGAAAGCAAAAAAATAAAGAAATGTCTTCCTACAATTACGATTACTGGGAAAGTGGAATTTTCGCATGTTCTTTTTTTTTCATGGTGACTGTATCTAAAGGAATTTTTTCTGCGTATATTGAGGTTGTTGTTTCTGTGAATGAGCTATTTTTTGTCCTTGTTCTTTGAGGTGAGTTGCTGAGGGAGATTTTAAGTTTGTTTGTTGGATTCTTTTTTGTTTTCGACGAGTTGTTACTGGTTTTTGAGCTGGAAGCTTAGTAGCGCAATTGTCTACTGCTTTGGATACTGGAAATTGTTCAGCAGCGGAAGACTATACAGCGAACATGTTCAAAACTCGTTTTAGATAACTTTTCATTTTTTGAATGATTAGGGCTAAAATTGAAGCAACTCATTGTTAAGTTTTAAATTGGGTTGTAGTCTGGGTATTTTATTGTTATTATCACATCACATACCTAAACCCCTTTCCTATTTTCCTTCCTAGGTTCAAGTCCCATTGCGAGTATTGAAAATCAGATCTTAATCTCTGCATAACAGCTTATAACATTCATTATCATAAGTTTTATTAGATCTTGATTAGCTATGCTAAACGTAGACCTTTTGTGCTTTTTAAAATGACTCTCGTTAAAGTTCCATTCAGAGATTCATGTCCTCAAACATCTCTTCATATTCCGTCCATTCATCAAAATGAAAAATCCCCCAAAAAAATTGCATCAAATTTCTCATAAAAAATATTTCAAGCTCTCGTTTTTTAAGCATACAGCCATGGTTTGATGTCTTGCGGCCAGAAAGAAAAAAAGAAACAATAGAAAAATGATTGGATCGAGATGAAAAATTGAAAGCAGAAGAAGTCTTTAACTAAATTGTCCTTGGTTGTCGCTCTTGGTTTTCGTACATTTTTCAGTTCGTGGTTGAGGAAGCAAAATTTCTTCTTCCTTTCCTTATTCTCTCATTCTGTTGTCATTTCTGGCATCTTTCACGTTTCGTACATTCTTTTTAATTAGACAGAAAATGAAAATGTTTTATATTTCATTCTCGCTTCTTGTGCTGTTTTTAGAGCTTATGGCTTTAATAGATACACAAAACATACATTATTACCACAAATATATAAGTTATTTTTATCTTGTGAATCACATCAACGATAAGGGCTTTTATTTCAATACACGTTAAGAAGCTTCTTCAATCGGTTTGTAGACTGATTGAGTTTCTGTCTGTTTTAAAGCAATTGGGAAGCTGAAATGCTTAAAAAAAACGTCAGAAAAATAAAGTAAAAGAAATTAATCTTTATGAAAATAGACTGAGAGGCTTGGAATCTTTATTATGTTTAGCCAAGAAAATTGTGAGATTGAGGAGCGCGTAGGAAGTCTTTTGAGATGTTGATTGTGAGTTGGTTGATGTAGAAATTTGAAATATTGTGAAAGCGGCAAAAGAGCAGAGGCTAGAGTTTTGGATTTGTCAGTAACACTCTTAACCTAAGTAAAGAAAGGCTCTATTTAAAAACTATCGGAATCAGCAGCTTCTGTGGACTTTGCTTTATTATTGCCAATTGGGTAAGTTCGATTCTATTCGGACTTGATTGCTTTTCTGCCCCCCCCCCCCCCCCCAAATTTTTCCATATAAATTTTTTTTTTGTCCGCCTCTCTTCAAATTCCTGGCTTCACCTCTGTGTTTTAGTCATCAAATATTAGTTTTACTTGTGGATTCTCTCCATTAGTGAATAATTTGGGTTATGAGAGACCTGGGGAGGGGGTGGGGCTGGATAACCTCAAAATAAAGCCAAGTCATGGCTACTAGAAATTGATCTTAATAAGAATAAAAATAATAATGAAGAAAGGTCGTAACAAATCGATGTATTTCGATACTGTGCCATGAACTAAAGGAACTGCAATATTGATCGAAGTTAAATTCTATTATACTAGTGACAACAGGTTTAGAGAATTTATAAAAAGGCTGGAGCGTGAAGGAAAAATAAAAAAAATTTAAAGCACAAAGTTTTTTTTCCATCAAGCTGTGCTAAATTATCAAGCCTAAAATTCCTGATCTTATTCAAGCATTCCTCTCTACATCCAATTACACTAATTTCAATTTAACTTTATCGTTCGTCAACTAAAAAAATTCACTGACAATGAACACAAATTAAACTGATTTTTCTCAAATCAAATTCCTCTAATCATCTCAACATGAAATAAAACAGAGAATCAAGGCAAAAGAGGAATTATTTACGCCTTGGTTTTTATCTCAGAAAAGAAACGTTAATTTATTTGCTTCATCATACAGGATTGCAGTTGGAGGGGGGGGGGGGGGGTAGATACAGATTTTTTACACACACTTTCAATAATTAATATGAATTATGATCCTTACTTATTGGTAGAGAATGATCAACAGACCCTTAACCACACCTCTGTCCATTCTCAAAAAATTTCAAATTTATCATAAATTCCATCTTGACAGAAATCCAACATCAAAAAGATGAAAAAATTCTTTATTGTTTCACTATCAAATCCTCAAATTGGATTTTTCCTTTCACTCTTAATCATAAAAATTGCGTGGCAAGAGAAAGGAAGGTCTAAGGAAATCATTTTCATCATTTATCTCGAATTATCTTTCATCTTTTATTTCTCATGAAAGAATTTGAGCTGTAATATAGCAGCTTATGCGGTTTTTATATAAAGTTTATCAGATTTTCAAGCTATATTATGTACATTTTGTGCCACATATACTTCAGAAATATGATGATTTATTACTTAATATTCAATATTTGCCACGTAAGGCGGTGGAAAAAAAGGCAAGCAGGAACTTTTTTTCCTCTTTTGTTTCTTACTTTTGGATTGAAAAAGTTTCGATCCTTTTTTTTGCTTCTTGTGATATTATAAGATGGAAATTGTAATTGATTCAAGCAGATGTGACGCTTTTAGAGGTTATAAGCATTGATAATAAAGTTTCAAATTCTATCGGTTTTTGGGAATTCGAATTTGAAGTTTGATCAAAAAATTAATACTTATTTTAAATATTTTTCGACCGTTAAAAATTCAAACCTAGTTTCACAGTAAACATCATCACAGCCATTCCAAATGTACATATAACCATCAACAGCACCGTTAACAAAAAAAAGCCACGACGAACAAAAAGAGCAGAATTAAAATAGCAAAGGCGAGCAAGAAGTAAAGGCGGCAAGAAAAACTGCAAAGATCATTGAATTATGAAAAGAACCGAAAGAAATAAAGAAAGGAAGAAAAATTAATGG